GGGGGGGGGGGGGTAGAAAAATTCCATATATACCAAAGCAACAAACTTCCGCAGATAAGAAACACAAGCAACGTAAAATTTTAGGTTTCTTTACAAATCACTAGTTCTTGAACTCATGTATATACAATCTCCTATTCTCAATTATCCTACAGTATAAGAATTAGATAGTTAATTCTTTTCTTCCTCTGTATCAACAATAAGTTCAATGTTTAGGTGTAAAACTTTAGAATTAATTAAAATGTACTGGTTGTTGTAGAATCGATTGTTTGGCGGGTATAAATTGGACTGGAGCCTACGTATTGGCTCGAGGGGGTTTAAGGTGAGTGGATATAACCCTTTACTAAAGTGGTTCTACTCACAGAAATATGCCCACAAAGTGTTTGATAAAATGCTTTAACGAGTCAATATGTGCTTAACTGGAACGAGTGAGCTAATGTTGACTAAGTATATTCAAGTTAAAGCTTATGTATTTTACTCGAGAAGTATAAGAGTCTATTTTTCATATTTTTATGCTTTATTACACCATCTTATATGTTAAAGTTTTAAGAGTTAGATAGAGCTTTTAAAAATACTTTGAGTAATTTTATTTCATGATTATGCTATGTATACACTCAAGAATATTATTATAAATATTGATAGATCACTTTCAAATAAGATTTAGACTTGAAAAGTAACAAGAAGAAGTTTTAGAAAGAAATAATGTTTGAGAGTATCCTCTATTCTGAGAAGGGATCATCGTCTAGGCCGAGGGTCCTGACCAAGGCGTTGACTTCCTGAAACTATTTGTGCCAAAGTAGGGAGCACACGAGCTGAGGGTCTCATTACTGAGAATTTACTTAGCAAGGCTAAGATGTGATACATGAGCGCGGAGAACCATGAAGCGAGTGGCACCTCATGGATTGGGCTTATTCGATCACACGGTGACTAAGACAGAAATAAGTCGGGATAGTTGGAACTCGCGAAGCATAAAGTGAAATAATTTTTTTTAAAAGAAAGAAAAAGAAAGGAATTTCTTTTAGAATATTCATAAACTACTACTGTGCTATTATTTTAGGATTCTTCTTAGAAGCTTTATATTTTACATACATTAAGAACCTTTATTTGTAATGTATATTTTATTAAAGTTTCGTCCCCTGTCATCGAGACTCACTGAGTATAATGGATGGTACTGACGTTCTTCTTTGGGAACCTACGTTGGTCTGCGGTACAACGTAGGAACCGGTTTTGCAGGCGAGCAGGCTACAGGTTAGGACTTTTCTTTCTTCCAGTGCTATTGGTGAGCTCCGCTTTTGTTCGTGGAGTATTCCTTTGAGTCATCTTTATTTAGTTATTTCTTTGTTTACTTGGAGAACTAGTCAGACAATCTCATGTCCTGAGCAGTGCGTCAGTTAATCAGTAGAGGCTTCATAGACACAGTCGGTGGGTTAAGATTCAGATATTTTTTATAATAACTTAGCTGTATTTCAATAGTTACTAGGAACAAAGTTTGGGAGTTGGTTATTTTAGATATTCAAATTAATTAAAAGTATTTGGTTAAAGTATTGCGTTGTTGCATATAAAGTTTGAGATTATAATAGTTTTAATAAGTGCAGATAGTTCGCTCGGTTAAATTTAGCGACCGGGTGCCGGTCAAGGCTTATTTAGAAAATGGGTCGTGGCAAACTTGGTATTAGAGCCTCACGTTTATGGAGTCCTAGGGGTCTATGAAGTCGTGTCAGTAGAGTCATATTTGTGGGTATGAAGCGCGCCATACTTATAAGTAGGAGGTTACAAGCATTTAGGAAAAGTCTCATTTATTCATACTTTAGATCGTGCAGTAGAGCCTACCTCTAAAAAATTATCTAATGTATTTGTTTCTCCAAAACTCGGAGAAATGGCTCGTACTCGCAACTCTGACACCGACTGTCACGACCCGAAATTCTCTACCGACGGGACCGTGATGGCGCCTAACATTTCACTTGCTAGACAATCCAACATTAGAAAAATCGTTAGACCAATTCCTTATTTACACTCTTCCTCACAATTCACAGAATCAATAACAACGGATAGAGAGAAGTTTCACAAGAAATCAATATTTCATCAATGATTACTTTCACAATTTAACATCTCAACCTCGAATCAATATTCACAATTTTATCGACCTTGGTGGAACCGGATACAAGTCTCCCAACATTTCAACAACAACAATAAGCATGGATAACAAGATTTAAGACTACAAATTTGCAAGAAATGGAATTTCACTCGCATGCTATGACTCGACCACAACGTATAGATGCTCGTCACCTCAACTATACATCGTATTCAACAACAAAACACGTAGCAAATACTCACACAATACCTATTCCCTCAAGCCAAAGTTAGACACAATACTTACCTTGCTCCGAAGGCCACTTAATTCTCAATCACAGCTTTTCCTTTGGAATTCACCTCCAAACCACTCGTATCTATTCAAAAATGACTCAATAATATCAAATATTGCGAAAGGAATCAATTATATTGCATAAGTTAAATTTCTCAAATTTTCCTCCAAAAAGTCAAAAAATTGACACCGGGTCCGCTTGGTCAAAACCTGAGGTTCGGACCAAAATCCATTTACCCATTCATCTCCGAGCCCGAATATATAATTAGTTTTGGAATCCGACCCCAAATTGAGGTCAAATTCCCGAAATCCCTAGTTTCTACCCTAACCCCTAATTCTACCATGAAAACTCTAGATTTTAGGTTGAAAATTCAAGAAATGTAATGGGTAATTGAAAGAAAATGGTTTAGAATCACTTA